GTTGGAAAATCAGATTATGACTTTCTAAATATCCATGTAAGCCGATTGTAGTAACCAGGTTGACCTCGGAAGCCTAAATGGTGAAAGCGCGATAGATTACAGCATGAAAGAACAGTATGAGAAAAGAAGGTAAGAGTGAGATAAGACGTTTCGGTCCATTAAGTCATATACGTCTTAACTCAACACCGCGATAGGACCTCGTCAATATGTCGGCTGATATCTCACTCCTAGAACAGATAAATTGCGAAACAAACTGAATACAATGTTAAATTTCCAATAAGCTACGCATGCATACTGCAGTACGGAGGAAATTACCAAAAGTCTTTTAAGCAGGAGGCTTCGAACCAGGGATCTATGCAGCAAATAGTGCCTGTAGCGAACTTATTCTTTAGTTATTTTACTAATTTATCACAGATTGACGTCGCTTTTGCTATCAGCTGCTGCTCGGATAAAAAAAAAAAATCAGAAAAAATTGCAAATTTTAGTAAAATTGTGTTGTTGCCCTTTATAAAAAAGAAAAAAAAAACTTACGATTGTATATTGTAAATGAGAGGTATTAGATGCTTCGATGCGTCCACATTTTTGGCCATCGGATCATAACGGGTTGGTCGTAAACAGAGCTGAAACATTAAAATACAACTGAAAATCATTAATATCCATACCACGATTATGAAAAACCCCAAAAAATAATCGTATCAAAATTCAAAATTTACTAAGGACTAAAACCAGTTTGGATAAACCTGTCCTACGCCAAGTGCTAAATTCTTTTAGAGTTTCTAAACTTATCAAGTTTTATCCAAGTTTCACGATTGCCAAATTTCCTGGTCGGCAACTATCCCAATGTGATTTCGGGGTGAGACAGGAATATTCAACATACACACCAAGGACACTCTGATGGAAGTTAGGAATTTTCCCGTCAAAAAATTCACGGATCCGACCTCGAGAACCACATGGATCTGGGAGCTGGATTTAATATCTTTAACTTTTACAAGGGGAAGCTGGAAACAAACCCTTAAAATTTCAGCCCCCAGCTTTCCTAGTTCGCAAGTTGTAAAATGCTCCTGTCGGGAGAAGAAACGAGCTAGAAATCTCGTCAGAAAACGAAATGAACGTCAGGATCGCTAGCAAGATGACTAATAAGCAATGCATAGCTGGCTAAAATAACTGGAAAAAGGCTGCCAGCTGTACAGGTGAAGAACCAGGCTGTGAATTAGCAGTTAATTCAGGTGTTTCAAGAAATTTGACGAGGTCCAATCGCAGTGTTGAGTTAAGACGTATATGACTTAGTGGACTGGAACGTCTTATCTCATTCTTGCCCTCTTTCCTCATTCTTTCCTGCTTTCTGTATTCAATATGCCTTCGACACTTTGGCATCCAAAGGTCAGTCTGGATGCAACAATCGACGTGCTGGATTAGTCCTTTGCTCTGTGGCTTAGGTAAAAGATTCCCATGGCATAATGGCCATAAAGATCAGTATAAATAGTTTAATTACTTATTTTCAATATAAATAAAATCTTAGCAGATCAAAGCCTCAAAAAAGTCCTTCGCAAGACCTGAGTCCCCAAAAGAATCGAGCAGGAACTTACCAAAATTAGAACATTTATATTGGTCTGATCAATAACAATGCCTGGTGAAATGCGTGCCCTAGGCATTGATCCTTCCTGATTCCACATTGCTAATTGGATCGATGGACGCCACGGACTATCTTCAGTC